TGTAGGTAGTTCATCATCCCATGTCAATTTTCGAACCCAAAGTTCTTGTAGCAAGAATTTAAGTCTAACAGTAAATGGAGTTATTAACCCAAAGGGATCAAAAATCTTCCCGGCAGTTTTCAAGATGAACCGTTTCGTATTATGCTTATTCTTAAGGAATTCCATCAAACTGTCTGTGTCTATGCTCAGACTGTCTTCGTTAGTATCCCAAGATATTCCCAAGATCTTAAGTGTCTCGTTTGAGTCATTGATTTTATGTGGATGGATCTCAAAATCTGCTTTTTCCCATTTTCTCATCAGCTCAGGATCATTGGATACCCATTTATGCAAGTTCATATTTGCTGCACTCATAATTTGTTTAGCTTTACGCGATAAGCTTAGAGCCTCATCTATACTGTCCTGTCCAGTAATAAAATCATCAACATAAACACAAGAATTCAATATTTCAAATACATCTGGCTGCTCATCTCGGTATTTTCTAATGTGTTCTTTAATTGTTGCAGCCAACAAAAACGGATTTGACTTAATCCCAAAATTTACACGCTTGAATTATATGTCGTTAGTTTTAGATCATTTAATTGTGCGTTTTCCACAAACAGGAATCGCACTGCATCTTGATCCTTTTCTGCCAAAGCAATCTGCAAAAATGCTTTTTCTACATCCGCTGAAATTGCAACTTTATTTAATCGGAAATTAATTAGCAGATGGAGCATATTAAGATTTAAATTTGTTCCTGTCCATAGACAATCGTTCAGTGATAGCTGCCCGAACTCATGTGAGCTGCCATCAAACACTATTCTAGTCTTCGTTGAAGCACTGGTTTCTCTAAATACCAGTTGGTGTGGTAGGTAAAATACTGGTTTACCGATAGGTATATTTCCATCTGACACTCTTTCAGTGATACCGTGCTTGAGATAATCTAATATTTCACTATATGTAGAAAAGAGTGTTTTGTCATAATTCATTCGCTTTGCAAGAGTTTTTAATCTATTTTCCGCTACTCGGTAATTATCAGCTAATTGCCTCCAGTCCCTTTTCCAAGGTAAAGTAACCTTGTAGTGACCAGCTTTAAAACAAACTGTCTTATTAAATATTTCCAATGCTTTGTCTTCCTCATGACAATAAGGATCATCTTTAATTCCTAATGATTCTAGTTCAAAAAACATTTTCAATTCACTCTCTGAATTATCATTTATTAACCCTCAATACGATAAATTATTTCTATTTACATTTCCACTAACTATATATCCAAACACACTATTTTGTAATATCAAGCCTGTATAAGGAACATAGATTTTACCAGCTCATAACATATCATAAAAAACTTCTGCGCCGAGCAACAGGTTTACTTTCTCTGGTTTATAAAATTCTGGATCCGCTAAATTCGCCTTCTCAGGAATCGCAGTGGTCAGGAATCACAGGTTACTAACATCAATAAACTTTGCAGGAGTTAAACCTGCTATTTTTGAAATTACCAAAACCTCTAGTTTCCTTTTATACGTTTGTTCCTAATTACAGATAAGGACAACTGCTTTTCTTTTTATTGTAGTTGAAATACCTGATATACTGCAAACCAAAATATTTGTCTTTTCTCTTTTTAAAATAAGTATATCTGCTAATTCAGTGGTACAAAAACAAGAAATACTTCCACTATCACATAACGCTTTAACCTTAATTAAAGTTCCATCATTAGTCTCAATGAATACAAAGGCAGTAGATAAAATCACGTTTTTCCCACTGTTAGTACCCATAGCAGCTGTAAAGGTTTCGTTTTGAGTTTTAGCATGAAATGCAAGTGCATGTACATTTAACGAATTGCTGTTTTGATCACCCAGCTCCTGGTCAAGTGTCTGCTCTTTCTACTGTGGTGCCAACGGAATTATTTTCATTTTGATAACACGAGAGAAAGCTATGTTTTTTCTTACACTTCTTGCACAAGTAATTAGAACGGCAATTTCTCACACTGTGCAAATTAAAACAACAAAAACATAAATTCTGTTTTTTCACAAATTCTACCCTTTCTTTTACACTTAATTTCTAAAATTTAAGACAAATAAAAAGCTTGTGATTGCTCAAATTACATAACCTACACGAATTTTGCATATGTTTTTCATTTGCATTAGAAACGACAGCGGAACTCTGAGTAACATTTTTTGTGTTAGTCACACTCTTTGAAGCATTGAGAGTTCTTGCATGATCTTTAAGAAATTCTATAAGATCTGTTAAATTAGGCAAATTCTCTTTCTCTAATTTTCTTTCCCACCATATTTTGGTGTTAGGATCTAATTTTTGCCCTAAAATGTATGCAAATACATTGGAAGAAAAACCGTTAACACTCTGATTTAAAACTTCTAATGATCTCATGCATTCATTTGTAATGTCAATTAAGTTTAATATTGCTGACGCAGATTCATTTTGTATAGGATGCATATTCATAAATCGTCTCAGATGAGCATACACTTGTTCACGGTGATTAGAGAACCTTTCTTATAGTAATGAAAAGGCTAATTTATAATTAGAGTCAACTATGGATATTGACTGCACAATACGATAAGCATCTCCTCTTAGCGCAGATTTTAAGTACTGTAATTTGACTGCATCTGTTAAATTAGGATTTGAATCAACACTGGCTAAAAAGATATCTTTAAATGAAAGCCACTTATGTAAGTTACCCGAAAACGTTGGCAAAGTAATTTTCGGTAATTTAACGTTGTTCTCAGTATTCGTGCAAACCGAAGTCTCCGATTTAATTTCTTTGGAAAGTTTAGCTAATTTACGATTTAATTCAACTTCTACATCTAAGAGAATATCGTCAATCTCTTCTTTCTCTTTTACGTCAGCATCAATACTTTCTTCCGTACATAACCCGAACAAAGAATCGAAATTAGAATTTATTTCTGTCTCAAACACTTTAAATTTATTCTTTAGTACTTTTAAGTCAATTCCTTGGACATTTTCGTCTACAACCTTTTGTTTTAATTTTGTTAACTGTGTTTTCAATGTACGTTTTTTCGCTAATACCTCCTTTAGTGACATTTTAATTAGCAAAAGTCAAAAAACAAATAAAGAGCTTCAAAAAGGTACAATCAACTTCAAAAAGAAGGAGGGTACTTACCATTTTCTTTCTACAGAACTTCAATCTGGAAGTATCCTAAGTAATTCTTCTATTTACAAACCAAAAGTAATATCACAGTCTCATAAACTTCATTAGCTGTTCCGGCTCTGATCGGCCACAAAACTTGAATTGACTTATTCTAGTTCCCGTTGATAGCTATATATCATAATAAAATAACTCCACACACATTACACAGTTTCAATACATTTATTTTCCATAGCGACACTCTGGCGCTAGGTTTCATCTTACAGCGTAACATATAAATTGCAACTTCTAATGTACCACACAAATCAAGTTTCTCACAGAATACATTTCAGTGCCAATTCCGGCGGCGCATGCACCATTAACCAAGATTCCGCTTTGGCGCCAAGCATTTCTCAGCTAATACAAAACAAGTCCCTTAACCAAAAATCACACAAATTGAGATCACGTGAGTGGGCCAGCCAAGGAATGGAAAATGAATGGCTAATCACCCTGTCATCGATAAAATGTTGCTGCAAAACATCTGCTCACAGTGTCCATTATGCAGAGGTTCACCATCCTGCATAAAGGTGGTAGGCGCAAAACTCTGTTGCCACCGAAGTTGAGGTAAGATGAAACTGTTAAACATGTCGTCATGATATTTGACAGTTGTTAAAAAGCATGTTACAGTGCCATTATTGTAATTTTCATTACAGAAGAGTGGTCCAAGGGTAAACTGGGAAGTGAATCCATGTCAGATGGTAACTTTAGACGAGTGTAGTGAAATAATATAGAAAGCATGTAAACTTTCCATGGCCCAAATGCTGCAGTTCTAGGTGTTCACAGTTCTATTAAGAAAAAAATGTACTTTGTTACTCCAGAAAATGCTCCTTTGCCATCAACTTCATCATCCTTTCAGCTCAGTCATCAACTTCCTTTTGGGCAAGAAAAGCCAGTGCAAAAAATAAGTGACTGCCAGTGTCGATAACAAGCAGACACTGGTTGTGGCTGATCTTGAACAGAAAAAAGTGTATGTTTTTCTCAGTAGCTTCCATTTTGTTCCATATGATATCATAATTGTCATGACACTGCAGGTGCACTACTAAAATGATGATCATTCGTCAGTGGCGGCTTGAGAACAGTCATTGCTACCTCTGAAATGACTTCTGTACTGAAGGATTTTCACCCTCACCAACACTGCATAATGATCCAGATTTTCCCAAATCAAGATATCATGTTTATTACATATTGTGAAGATACTGATCCTTGGTGCTTTTGATGATTTTAAAATTCACGAAGAGTCACTACAGCATTTCCCACATTTTTGTAAAATAGTTTTATGATTAACGTATGTTCTGGTAAACTAATAGTCATCGTAATTGAAAGAATACTATTTACTTGATCTCGAAAATATTAAAATAACCCACAGTTATTTGTTGCATGTTTTTTCAAGCATTTTGTCTGAAAAAGTCTTGGAATCACATGGAAATATAAATTTCTATATGCTATCATCTTGCATTTTATATGGGCTGAAGTTTTCTTGTTGTAGACAGGTTAATTGCATGTTATTGGTAATCATTTCCTAATCAAGTTAATTAAATTACATTAAAGTGTAATCAATTATGCAATGTAAATGTATGTGCATTATAGTGAGTATTAAAATTTTTTTGTGTTATTAAGATTTTTTATTTTTATTAAATGTACATATAGTGAGAGGCTTTGAATATTTTAGTTTTTTGAGCAATTTTTTTTTTTTTTTTTTTTTAAGAAAAAGTGTAATATATATAACACTTTTTATCTTTATTACTTCTTCAAGCGTGGTTTTATTTATAAACTTATAATAATGCATCATATTGACTATATAATATTTTCTTTTTTAAAAGCATTTCAATACAATAATTGCTTTTTATGTATTTTAATTTAGGTAAGGTATCGTTCTAAAGAATGCAGTGAAGTTTTAGATTTGTTAGAAAATTTAAATCTTGGTAGATTTGTCGCAAATGTTGTGGATCAAAATTTCGATTCAAGAATGTTTAAGAACCAACTTGATCTAACTAAGTCTTTTTTTATTGGTCATTCATTTGGCGGAGCTACAGGAATTCTTTGCCTAGCTACTGAAGTTCGTTTCAGGTACTTTAATTATGTTCATAATTTTTTCCAATTTTTTTAAGCTTTTGTTTTGTTAATAACTTTTATCAAAAGTTTCTGGAAGTACTGAAGCCATTTTTGTAATCTCATTTTGAAAGCAGAAGTAAATTGATTTATAAAAATGTAACATATAAAATTAGTAATAAACAATAGAGAAATAGTAGCTTATTTAATTTAAAAAAATGTAGTATTGGTAGTGTAAAAGTATTTTGCATTATTCAATATTTAGGAAATTTTTCAGTTTTGATTGTTGTCTACATGTTAATAGCAATCTGTATTGAATATATTCATGAAATGCATATTAGACTGATATAACTAATTCAGTACAACAAATTGTTTCCATTCTCATTCAGCACATTGAATTCCTTCAGTGTAAATAGTGAGTGCTTTTTTTTTTTTTTTTTTACTGAAAATGCTGAATTAGCTTGATGATTAATAATTAGGTATGTTTTTGTATAATTTAAGTAGTTGTATAAATGGGATTTTTCCTTTTTATTACTCAACTTTGTATAAATGCAGAAAACCTCTCTCAATTAATGCATAGTCATTGGCAGGCAATGAATGCTATACATGGCATGACTGCAATAAGTAATTATAATTTTTTCATCAGTTTGTGTATATAAGCAATATAAGAAGATAAAATTATCAAGTTAATAGAACTCACTTTCAAAAATTTTTGTTTTGTGCCTAAGTATTTGAACTAATTTTCATTTTCATTTTTAACATTAAATAAAAGATACTCGAATAGTGCTCATCTTCATCTTGTCTAAGAGTGGTTGTATAGCTAGCCATAGTTTCTTTAAGATTTCAAAGAACTGAAGCTTTTCTCCACATCACCAAATTAAATGTCCTTGCCCTTTTCAGTGTTGTTGAAAATTAGTTCAAGCTATTCTATATTTGGCCTCTTAGTCTATTTTTTAGGTGTGAAAAGAGATAGAGAATCTAGTGAGAATACTTTTTCCTCTCACAAGAAAGAACTGTACATTATTGCATAAAGATGACTATATATTTCTACAAGTTAAAATATAAAAAAAAATCAGTTAAAAGTTTTTACTCTTGATGTAGACTTTCATTTTTACTAAAATTACTGGAAAAAGGAAAATTTCCAGTTTTGGTAAAATCTAAGCAAATTTTTCTAAATCCATAAAATTAAATTACTATATAAAATATTCAAAATAAAGTATTTTATGCTCTTCCCCTAAATTCATCCTTTCTCCCAAATTCCAGATTTTTCCATGTTACATAATGCTGCTTGAAAAAGGTAACTAAAACTACAATTAGCCACAGCTTTGAGTACTTTCTGCATCTACTTAGTATAAATACTCTTTGCAAAACAACTATGTCATTCCTTTTCCTAGCTTCTACCCTGCAATCAACTCTGCGCTGTTTATGCTGTCTTGTCCAAAATGCTTGCTTCCCTACTTACTTAACTAGGTTCTTCCACTTTTGGCAATTCCACAAACTGATAGTTTGAAACTAAGTTTAAGGCAAAAAATATCATGATTTGTATATAAATGTCGACTTGAAACTTGGAATAAAGGAAAAAGAACGCATACAAAAATGGTGGTGTTGCTTGACTGAAAGGATTAATATGAGCATGGTTGACAAAAGCATGTTATGTGCATAGTTGTCAGAGTTTGGTGCATTCTGAAAATTTGACAACTTCTACCAAGGTGCCTGCATTAATACGCAAGTACCAAATACACTGGCCATTAAAATTGCAACACCAGAAAAGAATAATCTAAAGAACATCAAAATCGAATGAAAGGAGGAAGAGGTTGAGATATGCTAATGATTAGTATTTCAGCCCATTTAGATGACACAGATGGGAGAAATAACATCTGAAGCATTGCATAAAAGAAAAGTTGTGTTGTAGATTTCTCATTCAGAAAGCACTTTGTAAGGTTGGAGTTTGCTTAGAATATCATGTTATGTCTCGAATAATAAGAAGAAATGCTTACTAACAACTGTCGAAATGCGATAGAGGCAAGATCGTGGCCTATCCAGAGTGTGGATTATCGTTCCATGATAATCATCCATTGCACTGGTCAACATCCAACTGCTGTCATGTGAATATGGAATCAATAGGTTGCTGATGTTAATGCTGGCCTTTGAGCATCTGAATAATGTGTGGATTACTTTCCTGCTTGAAATTATTTCAGCAAGATTATATATCATAAAATATCTGGACTGGCCATCATTTAGTTTTTAATAAAAATTTCTTATTTAGTCTAAAATATTCTCGATGTATGTTACAGCGTTGTGAAATGTCACAATGAGCCTGAAGGGTCGAGGTTCAAATCCTGAAGAAAGCTTAGATGTTTGTAAGTGTATAGTGTCTGTGTGCAAGGGGCCATTTAAAATACATGATGAACTAAAATCATTTTGAGAAGTTGGTGGTAAGGGAAGATGGATGGGAGGCCCTTGGACCACCCCTGACGTGTTCTCCCTTGGAATTCCAAATTGGGTAGAAAGCTTAGGAGGTCTGGCAATACCTAATATGCCTACATTTTCCCCTTTTTTTTCTGTTGTTGCTGTGTTTGAATTTAAAGTAATAAGATTCTGTAAAGTTTTATATTCAAGGGTGTTTACTATTTTTGATATATAAAAGTTCTTTTTGAAATTTTCACATTGTAGGTTATCATAAATAGTCAAATATGGGTACATTATATACAAGATTACCCTACATCACCATTACTTAGATATGGACTTCATTTTAAGCTTCAAATTACCATCCATCTGGATTCTTAAAATATGCAAAGATGTGCATAGTTTTATTTTGCATTATTGGACAAAGACAAATCTTGAGGTTTCAAATAAAATGTATTATTATTACATATTAAAATTAGTTCTGGAGTGTGTCAGAAAGTAGAAAGCTAATAATATATATGTGTGCCATATTAAATTCCTAAATCCTGTGATCTGTTTGGTTCATTTCATACATTATGTCATTTCTGTGATTTGCCTTCTTTCCATTTACAAAGTTACTGTTTTCGAGTATTGTCAATGCATTTTTTAAATTTATTAAAAATCAAAATCTGGTTTATGTATTGTAGGAGTTTATATAAGGATAAATAAAATCAAAGTAAATATGAGCTTACACAAGGACTAACAAAACCAAATATACAATTAACAGATTTCAGTGCCCTTTTTTCTTATCACTAAGATTTGACAATTTTGATTATGTGTCAAATCCATTCTTGCATGGATATATTATTTGTTAATTTTACCTTAAGAGCTGCTTATGTTTCCTGTGGAAGTCTTCTGTCATAGCATGGAAAACCACTGATCTAGTTCATAAAGAGTAGAAATGAACATACCAGTAATTAAAACTGAGAACAGCCTTGTGCTACTTTAGGTTGGGGTTGGAACTGACTCAGTACCAATGCTTATGACATATGTCCATGTTATTTTCTGGAATTTTCCATTTGTATATCACCAGAAGTGACTCATCATTAAATAATAATAATGGGAATTAATGATTTATGAGAAGTATTTTAATTGACAATAAATGCCTTGTGCATCAATGAATTGCTTTGAAAATTTACGATAAGTGATACTACAAGGGTATACATTGTTAAAATTAAACTAAAGACTCTTTTTGTCTTTAATATATATAAATGTGTTTTATTTGTAATTTATTCATCTAGATCCAAGTTTTACATTTATTTAACTTTCAAAATTTTAATTTTAATTACCAAGACAATCAGAAAATTTCTGTTTCATTTTTATTATGAATTTCATGTATAGTATTACTATTTCTCTTTGACATGCTTTTTTTTCCAACATAATGATTTGCATTAACAAAGATACAGAAACAAAATTGCAATAAATATCTCTTGTTTGATGCCTGAAACATTTCTGTGAATTACAGTCTAACATTAAATAACTGAAAAAGCAAGTGGATTCTTAGATTATCCACTATCCACTTTTCTTCTTTTTTATATTTGCATACTCGTGATAATATCACAAGTATATTTCATATTCATAAGATATTTGTTATATTTCATATTTGTCATTGAGTTTTCATATTATATTATTATTTCATTTTTCATGGTTTTGTATATCTGAAATATCCATGACTTATGAGTGTTTCAGAAACTTATGTTTAAAGTATTATTACTAATTGAATTCTCTTTTTTCTTAAAAGTTAACTTGTTGAGCATCCTCTTGTATACTATGTATTTTGTTCAAATAAAGCATAGATGCATCCAAGCACTAATAAATGGCAAGTTGTATTTTATGAGAAGCACATTAACACCAAGTTTGGGACTATTCATAACCTGGCTGCTTCAGAGAATTGCTTTAACATGATTTACAGCCCCACTCGCATGACTGTGTCAGCGGGGCGCTAACCCACCGAACAGCCCGCAGGGACTTCTCATGTTCATGGCCACAATCCATCACACTGAGGGCTGCGCGGGGAGCTGTCCTCCTACCCCCCGACACAGCGCTTAATATCTACATGAGAGCTTCCCCACAGTAAAGGCAATAGACAGGACAGTACCAGTACGGCCCCTGACAAGCCTGCACCTACCATAGGCTGGACCTATAATTCTAGTCCTCTGAAGTCTGATTATATACCCAAGAAACCGAAGCTGTCAGGACACAAGTTCAGCCAGTAGTCTAGAAGAACCCTGGGTCTCCTCCCATTTCTGGTCGGTCCCGGAAATTCCTACCAGTCGATCCCAAGGGATGAGTTCTCCAGCATCATTAGCCTATGCCAACTGAGACCTGAGCCTCAGCTGTGCATAGTTACCAGCAGGTGCCATGAGGAGGCTGACGCTGAACTGAGGGAGACGCAAACTGGCGAACCTGAAGCCATTCCCTCAACGCCCGCCCTTCGGTCAAACACCAGTTCTCCTGCCTTTTACCTCTGCCTACGATGATCTCCCGCGCATGGTTCATGCTGTCTACAGAGGCTTCCAGCAGGTTCCGAACATTCGTCCTCCAGGTCAGGTGTCGGCAGAACGAACCCTTAGATCAAACACCAGGTCTCTTCCCGCAAGCAGTCGGTTCTGGATATTTGTCCTCGGGTCCGAACACCACCCGCCAATCGGTGAGAAGCAAAGCTAACACAGCTATATGTTTGGTAGTCTTTTATGTGAATAAGAATGTGTAAATGCTATGAAATAATATTTGAGGATTGGAACTATGGCAACTGAAGTAATTTCCAAGAACAAATATGTAAACCTGTTCAGTTCCCTTCGTGTACCCAGCTGCAATTGAGCTGTAAAGTCACTGAGCACTGCAGTCTGAGGTTGAAATCCTGGTGAACAAACTTACTGCATAGGCGATTTTGTGGTTTTTTCCATGTGTAACATGTATATGAGCCAGTTTCTCTTAGAAATTTTCTGCACAAGCATCCTTCTTCTTAAGCAGATACTCTTCAAGTGCTTTGCCATAATCAAATAAACCAAACCAGGTACCTTAATATAAGCTGTATAATGCAAATGTAATTCTCTTTTAATTTAAGATAAAAGAGAATTACATTTGCATTATTGACAACGAAATACTTTTTCTGCATACTGAAAATAGATAAAATGATGAAGAACTCATATAAAATACAAGAAAAAAGTAATTTCTTATTAGTTAATATTAAAATATTTTGGAATTTAGCAAAAGATAACTAAATTTGTGATATTGAGTTTTATTATATTTTAAAAATAACATTGCTTTGGAAATATGATTCTAGAGTTCTAGTTCTTATAAAATAATTTCATGGTGTAATATTTTTATAATAGAGCTGGTATTCTTCTTGATCCTTGGATGTTTCCTTTTTTTGAAGACCAGACTTCTTTTTCTATGATTTCCAAACCATTCCTTTGTCTCCTGATAAAGAGTTTCCAAACTGAAGAATCAATGAAAGTGATAAAATGTCTTCAGAAAATGACAAGAGATGGAATATTTGTGACTATGAAGTGAGTTTTTTATTTTATAATCTTGATTATGTATATTTTTTATTTTCTTTCATATTTTTTAATCTTGACCATACTTTGCTTAGAGATGCTGAGCAAACTAGAAATTTAGTATTGAATTTGCTATAAAAGTTAAATTTCAGAATGTACCAAAATATGGAAAACTGTCTTTTGTGTTAATTAGCTTTTGTGCCAAAATGAATAATTGAAAACAGGCTCTCAGAATTTTCTGTATAAAAGCCAAGCTATACTTACCAAGTTACTAAACCAAGGTAAACTGTTGCAAAAAGGGAAATTTATGTCTAGAACTATTAAAAAATATATGTAAGTGTATGTTTTTTAAATGATGAATCCTAGTACTTAATTTTAAAAATGTATGTAGAACATTTCCCATGTGTTTTTACTTGTTAGATTTGAAATTTATTTTAATTATGTATTATTTCCTTTGTTTGAGATGGAGAACTAATTTAAATTTTTTTTGAGAAGGTGAAGATAACTTTCAGTATCAGATACTATTTCTGCAACTTTGAATGAAAAAATTGACAGTAGTTATAAAAAGGTTAATCAATAAAATGTGATAGTTTACTTAATTATTGAATAAGATAATTTGCTGCTAGTAATATTCAAATATTGTTAACCAATGCCGTAAGTAATAAGCCATCCAATGTACTCTTAATTGGAGATTAGTCTGAAAATACGTAAATAATTAAAATGTTATTATATGTAATAAGTATACAGATGCATGTGCAAAAATTTTTAGTTTAATATTTTATTGTTTCCATATAATAATAGCGCTATTCTTAAACTATAAATTTTCAAAATTTGAAAAACTGCTTTGAAAAGTTAAAATATTAAATGATACGACAAGACTATAAATTTAGCCTATTACTATTCTGAATAGTAATAGGCTAAACTATTAAATTTAGCCTATTACTATTTTGAATAGTAATAGGATAAACTATTAAATTTAGCCTATTACTATTCAGAAACGTCTTTCTGAATCATTAAATAGAGATAAGTGTATTTCATTCATTAAGATCCAAATTTTACATTTATTTAACTCTCAAAATTTAAATTTAAATTTCAAGGAAATTAGACAAAATTATATTTCCTTTGTATTATGAATTTGATGTGCAATGTTATTATTTATGTGTGAAATGCCTTTTTTTTTACATAATGATTTAAAATGAAGATGTGGAAAATTATAATAAGAGCAGTTAATTAAGAGAGTATGGTCCATAAGAAGGAACAAGGCTTGGGAGTTACTAGTATAAAATTAATGATGTAAAATTATTTTAAATGTGTGTGTTTAATGAGGGGATTCTTTGATCATCCATTTTTATTTCAATTTTTAAATAGCATTGAGCAAATGTTTATATTGATACTTTGTATATATAGCATTTTTTTTTTTTTTTTTTTTTTTAATTTACTGCTTTTAATTGCTATTTTTTGTTACAAATGTTTTGCCAGAATGCTGTATTTCTTAAAATATATTGTTCTACGTTGAGCCCAATATGCGTTTGATTACATTACATGCTCTGAATGCATTAAACTTAGTAGAAACTTTAATGCATTTTCTCTTCAAATATGCTTTAAGTATATGTTTTATAGATCCTCACTCTGAGAATATTTAATCTTCTCACTATCATAAAAATGTTTCTATTAATGTAATGTATGCATATTTTTCAAATTATGAATTTCTAATCAAAATTAGTGTTGCTTTACAAACTTACTCAACCCCCCTTCCATATTTGCATTCCCATCAAAAAGTTTCAAGCTCATTGTGGACTTTGGAGAAAAATGTTTCTTTGTGTATCTTTTACACCTATTTGAACAATTCATTCTGTACCTTGTATTTTTTTGTCTTCTTTTAGCCTACAAGATTTGCACACCTCTTATTTATTTGCATATTGTTCTCAAATGCATGTATTTGACAATCTGTTTTTGTTGAAAAAAAATTGTGCAAACTCAGCATCACATGTAACCTTGGCACCACAATTCCAAAATAAGAAGGAAATGAAAAGAGCCGTATGATGCCTTTAAACAAGCCACATTATGCTCTATGCATGCGGAAAGCAAAGTCAGAGATTTTTATCAAAGATGAAAAAAACTGCAGTATGTGGTTCACTGCTGTGTTAAAATGCAGAAATTCGCATAGGAGGGATCATAATCTGCAGTCACTTTAGCAAAAATGTCCGGAAAAGTGCAAAGACATCTGGGGAGGTGCTATGCCTGAATTGATGCAATAGTTTTTGGCAACAGCAAATTTGCCAATCCATAAAATGTAAAAGGAAGTTGAAATTCTATAAGAGAAAATTCCATATTTGGTAAAATTACCCTGCATCATTTGAATTAAATGAGCAAGGTTTATTAGTTGAGGGTAGTTATTCAAATTGTAGTAAGTGGTTATCCTTTAAATAAAATTTAATTCTTCTCCTGCAATTTGTATATTATCAAGAAACCACTGAAAAAATTCTATATTGTTATCCAGAACAAAGAAAACATATTCCATTAAGTACTGGATTTAGCAATTTCTATTAGTACAATATGAGATTGTGTGGATTATTAATATTGTTTTTAATTTCATGGTTGCAAGCTATAAAGTATTTATATATATCATTTTTCATATAAATATAGGAAAGCATATCATAGAGATTTATGTGATGCTCCATTTGTGCCAAAATATCCATTCTGTTTACCTGCAAAAGCTTGTTTTAGAATAGAAAGATTTGCTGCTCTGGATCTTTCTGCAGATATAATTCTGCAGTATTTAGGTTCATTTACAGGTATAAATAATTTTGTATGTTTTTATTTTATAGCTAATAGTATATTAAAATAAATATTATTTTAAATGATCTTCTGTATAAAGAGATGGTTTAAGCTCAAAATAGAACATTTTGTAAATTGACATGTCATTTATTGTTCAATTATATGCAAACAGTAATTTACATATAATGGAATAGTTATTTGCTTTTAAAGGCTTAAGAATTATACATTTCAAAGGGCTTATTTGAAATCAATGCACATATGGAATGTCATTAAAGCATGCAAAAGAAAACATCACATATGGATCCACCACAATATTCGACACAAGCTACACTCCAGAAAAACAAGGGAATCCATTCAAATTCATGTCCAGGAAGTATGGTAACAAAATGATGGGACAGAGTACAACAAAATAATCATAAAATTGTGAACAGATGGATATCTGGAGACATATTAAATAGAATGAGGCTGCCAACTGTCTTCAAGAAAATCAATGTTCTCACAGGAGAAGGATAAGCAAGCACATAGAGAAAGTAGTTTCCTGCAAGAGGAAAGTAGTTGTTCTAACTAAAAATCAGGAACAAAGAATCTCTCATTTTGTACTCCATCCCCAAAATTTGATTTTAAAGGAACAAAAGGGAGTAACACACTGTCCTGTGACATCATTTTTGGACAGCGACTTTTGCCAAAAAATTTAATTTTCCCAGAAAACCAGGATGTTTGGCAAGTGTTGTGATTTTTTTTTTTTTTTTAAATTTCTGTTGACTTGTATATAGTGATACATCATTGAAAAAGTATTACTTTTTTCCTCAAAAAAATATATGTACATAGGCAAATAGAATATTTATACAGTGAAACCTCAGTTCACTCATTTTATTTGTTCATGAAGGTTGTTCATAAACCAAAGCAGTTTTCTCCATAGGAACTATTGTAAAATGGATTAATTTCATTTTTGGACAAAAAACGACTGCTTGTTTAGACTTTAGGCTTATTTTGTTTATAAACTTGTGCACAAAGTACTGTTTATTACTTTGTGCACAAGTTCATAACTCCAAACCAATAGAAATCATATTAAGCAGATAAAATAGACAAGAACGTAATTTATGTATACAAGTAGAGTTTTGAAGAAGACAGGAAAATGAAGATGTTATTGTTTGGATATGAAACTTCCTTCTATGAAAACATCAGATAACTCTCTAGGGGGCATATTCTTTCATATTTTCTTTGTCTGTGAGCACCACTCAACTTTGCTTGAGACTCCTTGGGCCTTTATTCAAATTTGTCCTATGTTTTAAAATGTTTCTAAAGGGAGATATGACATTATAATTGAAAATACCCTTTGTTGCTTCTTCTGAAGTTGTAGTAATTCTAGTAATAATTTACTAGAATATTATAAAAATGAGCTCAATAAGAATTATTGAACTCATTTTAAAAATCTATCTAGTTTTATAATCTATCTAATCTAATCTAATCTAGTAACTTCTCCGTGTCTTCACTGTTAACTTCCTAGCTGAGGATTTTGTCTAGAGACACAAAATCATGGATGACCAAAAAGAAAAGAAAAAAAAGTATCTAAGTACTCTAAGTCACTGTCTTCAATCCAATCTATCTGCAATTTCTTTCAAGCCATAGTTTTGTAAGTTACTTGCTGCCAGGTGTGGTTAATGAGAGTCAAGCAATGGAAAATATTAAAGTTATTTTTCCAGAAGTCCCTGTATGTTAGTTATGTGACATAGCTCATCTTAAATTTATCTAGGTTATCTATTTGACATAGGTTTTTGTTCAGGTAGTTTGTTCATCAATTGAACTGTTCATGAAGTGAGGTGTTAGTGATCCAACATTCCACTTTACATATATTATTTTTCACTTTATATATATTGTTAGATTGGATGTTTATGGTTTATGGCGTAGAAGACCAAATTTGGAGCTATATCGCTCATATAATGAACCTGACATCATTAACTTCATTAAATGCCAAAGAATAAAATGGGCAAGTCATGTTATCAGAATGGATGAAGACGCTTCGACAGACCAACAGGCACACGGAAAAAGGGTAGACCAAATCTAAGATGGTTGGACTGCCTAAAAAATGACCTACCAGTCTTAAAGACCAAAAATGAGAAAAAACTAGCAGGGAGAAGATCGGCCTAGAAAAAGCTTCTTGAGAAGGCTAGTGCCCACCCTGGGCTGCCAGGCCATTGAGGAAGGAAGGAAGATCAGAGGTGTTCTATTAATTTCTGTAACATTGATTATGTTTATTTATTAGCAGTATTATTGTGTAAATTTTAATTAAATTGCCTATTCTGTGTTATTATTTTGCAAATATTTTATTATATAAATATTTATTTTAGGTTGAGCTCAGTATACCAAAGATTTGCCTTATAAGTTTTTAAAATATTATTTTTTTACTCTTTTTAGGTGGCTGTGTGAAAGCTAGCTCTAGCAAACTTATTTCTTTAAGAGAAAAATATCTTGTAGATGAAGATTAATTTTTAATAAAAAGCTACTGTGCAAAAAAATGCTCGCTTAATATTTGTTTATGTGCAATGAAATTATAAATATGTTTATATGCAATGAAATTTAAATATATTTATGTAAAGCATTTTTATATGTTTTGAATAAATGGTTTTATTTTATTAACATGCATTGTGTAATAAATTTATTCTGTGTTCCAAATCAATTCTTTTTTTTTTTTTTAATTACAAAATTTGAATTCTGTTCATAAATTAGAGGATTTAAACTCATTTTTAGTTTTAATTAACATGAAATATATTTTTTATTTTCAAATTGCTTTACTTGTGATTTTTTTAATGATTTAAAAATTTATTTAAAATTTAAACACTTGTATTTTATTTCAGCTTTTAAAATGTTGCCTAATTGAATTAAACTTTAATCCAAATAATTATGACTTTTACTGCAGCTGAAAGAGTTATGTAATATGAACTTAAATTAAGAAAATTAAAATAGAAACATATCAGATCTTGAATAGGTTGTATTAAGCCTGATCTTTTGCTAATGATAAAACAAAAAAATATGTGAATTATTTTACTTAGTCAAATTAATTTTAATTGCGATATTTGTTTAATAAGAAAATGTTTAATATTCATTAACTCCATGCATAAAATGATTGTGTAATATTTTTCAGTTATGTTTCAGCAATATTAGTACCCCCAAAATATTTTTGTAAAGAATTTTAAAGTTTAAACTTCACAGATGATACACTGTGCAAGGATCTAAGTATTCTTCACATATTTTAAATTGTCAAATGAGAAAATGCAGGAGGAGCAAAATTTTCGAGACACATTCACACTGTACTTCTCGCACTTCTCAGTCAAAATAAGTTGTCCATAATACTTTGTATATTCATCTATGCTACTACCAGAAATAAAGTAGCATTAAAAAAAAAATTATTTTCTGTTGAATGTGACATTTCATTCTTTGTAGCGTCTTCATCATCTTTCTTGTTGAAATCTCTTCCAGCTTCACTGAGAACTTTTAAAGTGCTCATAATAGCATAATAGAAATTGCTTTGATAACTAATTTAGTATTTTTGACCCAACACTTTTGTTCTTAAACTAAACATCCTTAAATTTAGACTTAGTAAAGAAAAATTTCTGTATGCCTCTCAGACTTTTTTTTTTTTTTTTTAATAATAATAATCAGCAGGTGATTTGTTCATACAATTTTTGTTAATCGTTGATAAATCAGCAAGAATATTGACAAAATCAGAATAGGCTGCTCAACATTAGATTTGGAATAAGCTGCATGTAATAAATGGATGATAAACAAAAAATAATTTTTCTCAGAAATTACAGTTCAGATGTAGTTTAAGCACATAGCTTATATTTGGCATTATGCTGCATGTTTTGAGTTTGGTACTCATTTTATGTGCATCCTTTTTAAAATTGCTGCATGAAATTTAAAAGCAATCAGATATTTTTTAGGTATTTTAAGTGCAACCTATCCTAAGAAATATTTCACATTGCAAAAAAGTCATATATACCCATTTAGCAAATGAAATGCAAGATTTTCGATAGTTTTATTTATTCACTATGATAAAATAAAAGTACATCAAGTTAATATATGTAACTTTTTTAATATTTAAAGACAACCTGTGAAAAAAGTTCCTTAAACATAAGTACAGCAAAAAATCGTAGATTTTAGTATGACAAATTATTGAAGGCCACTTGACCTCAGTTAAACTTCTAAATATTGTTAATAAACTTATACAGTATTTTCTCCCTCCTTTGCACATGCCTTCATGGCGTAACTGGAAGCACACTTGATGCGTATTTGGGAGGTGCAGAATTTGGATCTCAGTGAGGACATTGCACATTTTTCTCGTCTCCAACATCAAAAACCCTCATGACTGTATGTTTTAAAGAGAGGATAAGAAGTTTATACAGAGTGAATAGCTGGAGATAACCGCAGTTTGATATCTGAAGATAAAATTCAATTGCTGAGTTTGGAAATGCATGAAGGAATCATAAAAATAAAGTTTGTTGATCGTTCTCGACAAACTGGAATTCACTTAAAAAGAGATTCTTGTGTATGCATGTTGCCACGCAAAAGGTTTGTGTCCGTAATAATTGGCATACTTTGGCCACCTCACTTAACATAATGCATTTTTTCATTTATTGATAATTGCAATATGAATTATTCATTTTTTAATGAGAAATAATATGTTTCTAAAACATAAACAAATGTTCAATGTTCCTTCCAAATTGCTATAGTTTAGTTCTTCCATCTGCAGTAGGTATCGTTTTACATAAATTGTTTCATTATTTTTTTATTTATGTTTGTTTGTTTCATTTTGGTGGCGGGAGGGGAATATTGTTCTTCCAATTTTAGTTTTTAAGGAAAATCACTGTAACAGGTGATGATATAGAATTAAGCTTTATAGTGTAGACAGTGTTTAAATACAGGAGCACATACATTAGAATTAAAGATTGATTACAAAAATTCTTTGTTGTCATCTATTTCAAGGGGAAAATTTATTTTTAGTACTTAAAATTCAGTTAATGAAAATGCAATAGAGAGTGAAGATTTGTGGATTTTATCTCTGAATATAATGGCAAAGTAAATGAAGTCAGCTTTACAATTCAGAATATAAGATTTATATTAATATGTGAGATTTGTATTTGTAAAAGCTAGCTGCCCATTACAAAGAATTCCTTTCCTAACCCCTTTCTTGGAGCTTCGAGGTTAAATTCTTACTACCCAAGTTAGATTTCACATGTTAAACAGTAAAATACATTTCAGTATTAATTTTTTAAACTCCTCCAATTTTAGTTTTTAAGGAAAATTACTGTAACAGGTGATGATATAGAATTAAGCTATTCTAATTCTAAATAATTAACACCTACAAAAATTAATAGCATCTAATAAAATACTTAACATCTAAAAAAAGGAAATAATCATTTTAATATTTCAAAATCAATTTTTTAATATTTTTCTGTAAATGTGATTTAGTGACATAGTCAGCAGTGCTTTAGAGTAAAATCATACTCTAAAGGAACTGGGAGTTTTCCTGTTTTTTCCCATGTCTAACATGAATACCAACCAAGGGTGCTGAAACTTTTTTAATTTTGTGTCACATAAATAAGAATAAAAATTAAATGTAACAAAATGTGTGCCATTTTACATTCAATCTGAATATTTATTAAAACTTGTGTGTGAAAACTCTACCACCAGAAATAATGTAATGTACCATTATTTGAAAAACTCTGCCTTAGACAAACAGTTCCAGTGTATTTTCCTGCAATCCAAATAATCCAATCCAGTCCTTTTTCTTCTACAAAGGGTTAAGAAAACTTGTTTTTTCTATGCTATTGGTGGTTCCATCTAGAACAAGTATATTACGAACAAGAACAAGTATATTACGGTGCACATAAGAATAGGAAGGACCGTTTTCGATTTGCGAAAATACAGCAGCTTAAGGATTATTATTTTGCAACTTAAATTCCAAGATTTATGGACATCATCAAACTGGGAAATCAGAAACTCTAGAAAGAGTAAGCGCAGCTGAACTGCCGAAATCCGAGAATTATTGAATTAAAAAGTCGCAAGAAGAATTCTTTATAAAGGGTCTAAATGATTAACTTCAGGCCGGAAATTCATATTTGCTGCTTCTTCACTTTCACAGCTCAAAGCATTTCCAGAGGAAGTTTTCCTCAGAGTTGAGGAAAGACTGTAAAATGCTGATCTTACCTATTCTGAAACACTTTCTATAATCTCATCTGATTCTAGTTATTTTTTAGGTCTTTAAATCAATCAATATTGGACGTGCCTCGGGGCTAATTTAACGTTTATCATTCAAAAAAGTCTATAGTTTTGTATGAAAAGAAGTAGGAAGGTTTAATTAATTTATTTATTTTGTTCAGGATTGTGACTTTCATTTAGTGTAAAACTTTCGGGTTTTATACCTACATATAGATAATGCCCTTTTCAGGACCTTAGTTGGTGATAATTATTTTGATACCGATATTTCAGTAAGCTCCCAGCCAGCTTAAAACGCTCTACAACATGGTGATTTCAAATTTGTGAACTCTGGTTTCAAATTTAAAAAACCTGATAACGAAAACAAAAGTACTTTACTAATAGATTCAAAATGATTCTAAATCATTTCGGATGAATCATTTTCCACCCTATTCTTCCAAATGCGGGCAACAAAATAACAGTTCTTTTTCTCTTTATTGTCTTTTTATTATTTTTTAATCTGACATATACTGAGGTAGTTTTGGAATATTAATTGTTTCGTCCAAATGAATTGTGAATTTTGGGCTTTCTTTAAGCCTACTACAGCCAAAAGTCGTTAATTCGGACACCCATAATCTGGAATGATATATAATCCAGACCTCAAAGCTAAAATCTTTCAGCGCATGCGCCGCGTTGACGCATGCGTATAGGCGTTTTAAGCGTGCGCGCAAGACATTTACGAATGCGCATATGCGTCTGCGCAAGTGCAGAATTCGTTTTCGCGTGCGCGTTTAATGTATAACGGATGGTATAAGCTAAAAATTATCTAATTATCTATTTCAGTTAATGTTGATGATTGCGTTGTTCCTTAATCTTCGAATTGGATCCTCCTATTATTTTTTGCAGACTGTAACAGCAATTTTATAAAAGTAAGCTTGAACTTTCGATTATGTCAAATAGAATTTCCGATGCTGGAGCTCCCAAAGGATCTAGAAAACGAAAGTATGTTTCGATGTCCATCAAACAAAAACGAATTGCTACAAAAAATGGATAAAGGCATATCCTTTGTTTATCTAACCGTTCCGAAATCTGTTTATCAATTTCACGCTGCTCTGCGGGGGGGGGGGACGTCGCGGCGCGCAATGAACTGGAAGTTGATCTGTCAACACTATCGTTATCTTCAGGGCAGATGTTTTTATTTTATTCGGCTTATAATTCCTTACTAAATGTAGTATTTAATCTCGATGTACTCCGTCTTTGATATGATTTAAATCAAATTCCTCGTCATTATAAATATCACGAATACAAATCAAATAGTTTTCTGGTTGCAATTTTCTAATTTCGGCTAT